AGCAGATTTTTCAGTTGAGGGTGGATAAATATGATTGCATTGAGAACTTCATAGATATGAATTTAAAGTGCTGTTTACAGGCTTGAGTTTATATAGTTTCTAACACTAAAACTTATTTCAATAGCCTGTTTAATTTTCCTGAAGCAGCAACAAGTTGTGTCATAGATTATTATTACTAAATATGTTTTCTCTTTTATGCGGCATTACTATTGCACTTGGCGGTGCCATGTATTGAAAGTTAAGATGCCATTTTTAACCAGAGGCTCATTTCCCTTTCCACCAGGAATACTTTGCATCCTATTGTGAATACCATTCCAGTGGTTGTAACTCCAGTCTACGAAATGGTTGCTTAAAAAATAAGGATGGATTGAAAACACTAATGAATCAGATGAAAACATGGCTTACTAAAAGCTCTCATTCTTTAGTTGATTTTAAATGCTCATAAATAAAGAGTGGGTCACCTAATCCTGCAAACCCTTGTATTTCATTGAGTGAACTTGAAAGTGGCTATCTGACTGCACAGCAATGGTAGCAGGAGGAGTTCCTGAGTGCACCTTTCCCAGTGTTCAGTGTTTGGATGGTTCTTGGCCATTCACAGAGGTGCCTGTAGTTCCTTAATTAGAAATAGATGTCCTAAATGAAAAGGATGATAGAGCATTGTTCGTGGTTCAAGTGCTAATAGCAAATTCCTGGCTATATGTTGAAGTTCAGTAGGATATTTTTTGTATGCATAATAAAAGGAAATTTCTAAATGGTCTGTGTACACAAATGATTGCAGATTGTGATAAAATTATATGTTTGACTTGAAAGATATCAGTTCCTTATAGTAACAATTTTCCTGAAAGGTACTTAAGTAGAAGGTTTCTAAAAGATTTTAAGATTTTTTCTGTTTGTGTGTGTATAGATATGTATGTACTCCTATCTGTGCTTGCAAATGACTAGGAAAATTCTAAAAATTGAACTTGTAGATGTATGCTGCATTGACTAAATTTTTTTGAAAGAAGGCCTATTTTTAAAAAAATATTTCCCTAACTGCAGGAAAGGAGCCTCTTGGGAAATAATTTTAAAATTCTAATAGTCTTTTCTTCATTTATATATACACAAAAGGATTAAAATTATCCCAGAGAATGCCTTTTTCTGCTAAATAACAGCTAATAACATTGCTTGAAATTTATTTTAATATTTTTATCTTTTTAGTAGTCATTTTTGTTGGTTGCTTTACTGGTATTAACCTAAGAAAACAACTTTATTTGTGAAAGTTTCACCATCTTAGAAAGCACAGCAGAAACATAAGTTGTAATCAGCATCTGGACAAATTAGTTTCAGCTGTTGTATATTTTGATTTCTGGAGTTTGTCTTCTCTCATTTCCTCTCCTTCCCCCAGCACATACCTCATTAATTTACAGATATATCTTTGTTTCTTTATTAATCAGATCAACATTTCCATTCTCTTCTTTTCTAAAACTTCAGTTATGCTTGCTACCTTGGAAAGTCCTCTCTTTCAACACTTCTGTCTGCTACAGACATTTGATCAGTACTACTTTCTCTTTTCCGTTTATTTGCTTTCTTTAGTCCTTTGTTCACTCACATCTTTCCAATTAAATTGTTCATCTTTAAGGCTTCAGTGGCCTCCTTCAGGTCAGAAACAGTATTATATTTAGTTTTATATAGATACAGATGTCTCGGAAATATTTTTTGAATGGAATCTTTCCTTAAACACTGATGACTGCATTTTGGTTCACTTCATGGAGTAGTGTAGGAGCAATCCCAACAAATAATGGGCATTCATTCTCCACAGGACCAGACTAAACCCAGCTGTTAAGCCTAAAAGCTGCTGGAATTATATGGTGAAGATGTCAGATCTTCAGTGGTGGCTCTCTGTCTAGTGATGGAATTCTTTTGGTGCAGACCATTTCTGAATGCAGATGTGTGGCCCCTGCTGCCTTGATATTTGCTACTTCTCTGAACTTTGTTGCTTCAGCCTTACATGTTACCTACATGGAGTTTGGTTCACCCCAACCTAAAAACAGGCCCCACCCATGTTCAGCCTTCCTCCACCCTTGGTTACACCCAGAATTTCTAGCTGGGTATTCCCTTAAACTGTGACAGAAGCTGATCCTGTCTGTACTTTGGCTATCACAGCTTCGTGTTACTCACAGGATACTTGTGAAGTAATTATCTCTTTATGGTCTTTCCCATTCAGTGTGAATGCCATTCTTCCCCTTTGAAGCACTCTACACCATTGCACTCATCCAGCTATTCTCATACTAACCTAATTTTTTTGCAAACACTTTTCACTGAGCACACCATCTGACCATTTCATCAACTGCTGTCTCTGCAGCTGTTCACTTGTTGTGTCTTTTGTGTGTAGTAGTGTCACAGCTGATTGTATCAGGATCTCTTTTTTTCACAGTAAGTTTTCTTGTTAAGTAAATATGCTGTATTTTGGTTCAGTTGTACAATACAAGTTGTATTTTTGCTTTGCAAAATCAGATTGGGTTTTTTAAATGTCCTTGTATGGAGGAAAGTGTTCTTATGTAGCTGTGTTAGGAAAAGTCTATATGCATGTATGTTAAAAAGATGTGTCTAGCAGTTTCACTTGTAATGTAATTTCAGAAGGAGGATCTGTGCTTGAAAGTAAGATATTAGAACTAACTAACGTATTTTAATACAACACAGTGAAATGGAAAAAAATTGTCTCTTGCAGCTTTTACACTTGTAAAGAAAAGCTTCTGTATTCAGTCTTGTTTCCCTTAGGAAGCTGGTAGCTCAGAAGGGCCAAGGATTTCTCTCATACCTCAGCTGAGCTTTTATATGTGCTTACAAAATCAGCCAGTATTAGTTGCATTTCTGTTTGCCTGTGGTACAATTAGTACTCTGTATACTACCCAGTGTGATAGCACTTAAGTCCAGATGGACATTAGGTGGAATTTCTTCACAGGAAGGGTGAAGGATTGATTAAAAATTGTAATGGACTGTCCAGGCAGATGGTGAACGAGATGTTTAAGGAAAGACTGGACGTGGCACACAGTGCCATGGTCTAGTTGACATGGTTGTGTTTGGGCAAAGGTTAGACTAGGATTATCTCAGAGATCTTTTCCAGCCTAATTGATTGTGATTCTGTTGTCCTGTTTTTTTTCAGGTGACTCATTTCTGGCTACAAACTCTGTCTAATTATTATCTGTTTTCTAATTCCATTTCGTGTCTCAGGTTTGTAAGTTTTTCAGGGACAGGGTTCTTTTCATGATAAAAATGAAGGGCTTGATTAGTATAGTTTCTAGCAATATGTGTTTGCTGTGCTGCAAGATTCAAATTAGGACTGTATCAAAGCACACAATTTGAAATTTCTTGGAAGATAACCTTTGCATCCCAATCAAGCAATACAGAAAAAAATCAGGCCTGCAGAACAGAAAATTAATTTTGCTGTTGGAGTATTAGCTATTCAATGATATTTGAGGAGGCTTTTTAAGTGTGTTTTTTAGTTTTGGGCATATAATTGCAAATATAAATGCAGATGTTGCTTATCTCTCCCAAGTGAAAGAACACACACACAGAACATGCGGTTTTCATTACTTAGCTATGTCTCAAGAAATATTTATTTTTCTGTTTTCTTCTGCCAATTTCGAGGGAAGAATGCTCAGAAAATACTTAACACACTAATTGAATCAGGAAAATCAAAGGGGTCACCTGTTGGCCATGTCTGTTTTAGCTGTCTGTTTAGGTTGTGTTTCAAGCTGGGTTTGTTTGTTGGGTTTTTTTAGCAACATCTGTTCTAACTCTCATTTTCTCTGTGTGTGTGTGGAGAGAGGATGTTTAAGGTATGCTAAGTCATTTGTTCAAACTGACTTTGCGGCAGCATCAAAGAAACTTGAAAGGCAATGCCAACTTTTTAAAGAAAAAATGTCCAAAGCAACAGAAAGTAAATACACAGTGCCTTGATTTTTGGAAGATATTTAATTAATACTCATGAGGATTTTTACTTCCAAGTAACTCTGAGGGAAAATGCCATTTGTATAAAAGAAAAAAATACTTTTACTGAGCATTAGTGAAAATATCACAACTTTCTGTAGAGTGTTAAAGCAATTTCAAAGAAAACGTATTAACTTGAAATTACTGAATATTGACCTGTTAATGACAACTTGTTATTAACAGTTGTTACCTCCTGGCCATGCTGGGGATGGTGTTTAATGGTATGTGAAGAAGAGATATGCAAAAAAGAGGAGTTTTAGGTATTCTTTAAGGAGACCTTAGTGTTAAAGGCTATCCAAGAGGGATCAGACATGTTGTGATGGAAGACCATACGGATATTTCTCGTAAGTTGGTCCTTTGTGAATTCTTTTCTGACTGTTTTTGACAGTAGAAAGTTCATTCTGTTCTTAGTATTTTGCTTCTGAAGCTATAGATTTCCTTTTTGTTTTGTTTAGTTTTGTTTTGTTTTCTCTTATTTTATGGCATCTGGATTTAGTTACTGGATATTGCCTCAGCAGTGCAAAGGAGGAAGTACCAAATTTTGATTCTGATGTAGGAAGATCAAAACATACATAAATAACTGTTTTAGTCTTGTCTGCTAAGAGTACCGACAGTTTGTGTAGCAGATGATTCATAGTTTTGCTGATATCTCTGCAGGCTTTTATGTTTTGATTTGCATCTTAAAAGTTTAATTAAAAAAAAATCTACAGACTGGTCAAGCGGAGTTGTAGTAGAAATGGAAGAATCCAGATGAACAGGAGCCTTTTCACTGTAGCCTATAATTGAACAACTGCACCAATCTATAAAGTTTGTTTTAAAATCTATATTTCTTTATATTGACCAGATTTTTATTGTTTATGTTCATTTTATTGTTGCACACGTGCAAACATTTTTTCTTGATGCCACTCTTTTCCAGCACTCTTACGTTCCGTGATAATTAATTATGCCTTCTGTAGTAAACAAATGACTTGAAATTATTGAAGCCTGTCTTAAAATAATCTTTTTCCTTTTCTGTCTTTTTCCAAAAATAGATAATATACCTGAGAGAATCCCCAGAAGATGTGTACCGGCTTATATTGTCAGGAAGTGTTTCATACCTTCCTTTCAGGTAAATAACAAGTTGATAGAACTTTCTGTACCTTGATATTTTGAAGAATGTAACATTTTTCAGTACTAATTTTTGCTGTGTTGGTTTTCTGGGGTTTTGGTTTGGGGTGGTTTTTTGTTTGTTTGAGGATTTTCTGTTTGTTTTTTGTGGGGTTTTTTGTTAGCCTTGGGGGTTTTTCTGGTTTGGATTTTTTTTTTAATTGTTGAAGTGTTGAAGTTTTTACTTGGGACACACTCACTGTCCGAATTTTAGGTGCTTAGTGAATCAGAGGTGTTACCAGCTGGTACTGAAGTGTACCAGCAGAAGGTGAAGGAGCCCCACTGTTTGTATCCACTCATTGAGCTTTATGATCTACATTGCTTCTCACTTGACAGTCTGATTTTGTGCCAGTAGCTGATAGTTAAACATATCAAAATATCTGTCATCCACCACAGAGGGCTTGCAATACTTAATAGCATTCTTTATGTGCAAGACAGTATTTGCAGATTGCTGCACATATTTGACAAGTTGGAAGTTGTCATCAGTGTGTTCCAGGAACCTTCTGCATTGAGTGTGCCCTACTGTGTTATCCCTCCAACACATATCAGACTGGTTGCAGTTCCTTGTGAGGATCATGGGCTGAGAATGTGAGGCTGCTTCTATCTGTCTGTAGAAGGCTTTACCCATTTGTTCTTTTCATTAGATGGTCTAAGAGACACATGCTACTACACCATCACCTTTATGTGTCTTTCCTTTTATTTGAATATGGTTCTATTTTTTCTGTCTCCTGCTAATTTCTTTTCACACTGATTTATAAGGAAAGAAAGGATAGAAAAAATTACTAAAGGCAGCAATCCAGGTTCTTCCTCTCAGCTGAAATTCAAACATTATATGCTTTTTAATTATTAGAAGCAGTAGCTGATAAGGGCTGCATGGTCTCAAGGTGTTCTACCAAGGCATAATATTCTCTGGTGTAGATTCAGTTAAATTTATTTATTTACTTCACTATAGTATTCCTGTAGAAATCTTACTCTGTGGTGCTTATGAAATTTAATAATGGTTACATACTGAGAACATGCAATTCCTGGATCAACAGAATTAAGAAACTTGTAATTGAAGAAACCATTTTTTCCTCTTGTTTAAGCATTAACTATTTATGCATCTTAGGGAAGATATTTTATTATATTTACTAAAACATTTATCCTAACAGTCCATGTCAGAAATTGAACATTTCAGCTTTACAAAAATTGTAGCTGGAGTAATCTTACTATTGTATCGGTTAACATAACTTATTTTGTTTTGTTATTCCTGTAAGATTCAAGGTATGGGAAATGAAATAATCATTTGACATAATTATTTCAGTTTGATAATCACTATTTTGAAGTGTTTTTAAAAGGTGTTTTAGAGAAGTATCTTCAATTTCTTTCACTTGGATTAAAATGCAATAATTATCTTTTGGTCATCGTATCTTATAGGGATGCTTCCTTTGGTACTTGCAGTTTTCATCTGACATTACTGGACTGTTTTCATGCAATAAACAAGGTCAGTAAACTAATATTTTTCACATTGCAAAAAATTAGCTAAATGTTGCCCATCAGAAGAAGAACGCTTAGGAAACTAGGATCCAGTTAGAGCTGTGAAGTAGTAAATCTGCTGATTGTTGCCTAGTTTAGTATGCATTATGCATTGTCACAAAAGTAGATACAGCATTCATAGAAGTCAGCCAAGACCTTATATAATCAACAAGTGAAGATATTAAAGAGGGAATTTTAAGTTTTACTTGTGTCATCTGTCAGGACAGTAATTCACCTCTAATCCTAAAAGCTGTGTGTTAGGTTTATTATATGTCCCCTGGTGTTACATATTAGGCTGAACATAGCCTTTGAAAGTGGTTTTGAATGGGTTTGCTCTTCAGGCATTTGCAGCACATGCTAATGATTTCAAGTTTTGCTTTAGTAGTAGAAATAGAACAAATGTTAGGAGGTAGATGCTTCTTTTTTTAACTATAAAATTATAAAATCTAGGTTTTATAGCAATATTGCAATGAAGTAATGCAGCATTGAAGGATAGGATAATCAAAACACATTGTTTTTAGTCTGTATGTAGTGAAATGGTGAGCTCTGCAGCCCTCCACTGTACTATTGTCTTTCACATTATGGGTATCTCTACCAAATACTGATGTTTTTACTGGTTAAGTTAGCTTCTTGAAGGTTAGTGATTTTTTAGCTTTTTTGGGTATTTTGAAATTGCCCACTTGTATGTCAAGACTAGTGCATTGCTATTCTTGCTGGTGAGCAGCAAGGAAAGCTATAAAAGATTAGGTAGTAAAAGATAAAATTAGAATGTAGTATTTTTAATATCTGGAGATACGGGATTTATCTGTGTTTGTGCTTCCTGTTTTAACAAGTGGATATACCATTTAGTTACCCAAATGACTGCATTTTTTATACTGTTATGTATTATAAAGTATTATGGTTCTGGCTAATATGGGACATCATGGACTCACAGTAATATCTACTTATGACTTTGTGACTGCAAACGATTTGAAATCAGTGAAGATACTACCAAATGGCATTTATTCACGAAAGATATTTCCAGTCCTTGAATGCAGTCTTTAGAAGCTACTCATAGCTTGAATAGATATTTTTTGCTGGTTACTTTTCTTATTATTTTGTGCATCTAGCAATAATGAAAAGACCAAATTCTTCAGTTACCTGGGATTTTTGTAGTGATTAGGTGAAAACAAAAATAATTGATTTACTCATCTAACTTATACTGAAATTTACAAACCTGTTTTGAAGCAAGATTGAGTTTATCTGTATTTCTTAAATTATGTGAAGAAAGAGGAGAATGTGTGTATTATAGGACTTTATGTAACCAAAAAGAGTGATAAACTGTCCTCACTGAAGAGGCATCTTTGTTAAGAGCTGTGTTCTAAATTTTAGGCTTTGCAGTATGGTTTCCTGGATTTTAGTACGTTTGATGTAAATGAATATGAGCATTATGAAGTAAGTGTTCAGTATCAATCTTTTGATTTGTTTGCTGTTACTAATGCTAAAATGATTGCTTATAATTTGTGCTGTTATTTTGTAGTATTAAGTTCCATTTCTGTTTTTTCTCTTTAAGTTGTGATAGGTAAATAAAGGTTCATGGTCAGAGAGAGAATACTAAATTCAGATTTAAGCATAACTATGCTCAAACATGGGGGAAAGCAGAAACCAAAAAGGAAATAAATGTGAGTCTCTATTATTGAAACCCTGGATATTCTTGAGCAGTCTTGATGGAAAACTAAAGGGCTTACAAGCTCAAGTCTAACTGAATGCTAGAGAATAATCAAAGTGTGTATTTGAGAACACATGGCAAAAATGTCATAACGCTCTTTGAGGTAAAGAAGGAAACAGGGCTGGGAAACTCCAAGTGCATAAAATTTGCTTTAGGACATAGGAAATTATTGTGACAATGAAGGACTGCAACTCTTGACTGCATGCAGTCTCAGAAATGCAACGCTGCCAGATATCTGTAAAGAGAAAATTAAATGGAGCTTAAAAAATCATTACTTAACTTGTGATCAGAGGTAAGACCAATTGGTAAGACAAATTTAGAATCCTATAAAAAATTGGAAGTTGCTCTTCATCTGAAGGGCATCAGTTGCGTTGTTCTAAAACTCTGATTTAGAAAGACAGGAACATGGGAGAAACGTGAGGTTGAGAGCATCTGTCATCCTCATGATGAAAAATAAAGCAGGCAACTAACACAACTTCCTTTGACAAAAATTATACATCAATTCTAACTAGCATGTATTTTGAAACAATAAGGAAAAGCCTGAAAATACAGGGATAATGATAAACCAAGCATTTTCTCTTGACAGAGAGCAGAAAATGGAGATTTTAACTGGATAATACCAAACAAATTCATTGCCTTCAGTGGACCTCATTCAAGAAGTAAAATTGAAAATGGTATGCTTAAAAAAGGAGGTGGGGAGCACAAGCCCACTGCTTTCTTAGTTGGTTGTTATCAGTAAGAACAAGCTTTAAAAATTGTTCTTCAAACAGTGTGTTTTTTCCTTGGCTCTTTTCCTTTTATAAGAACTCCGGCAGTAAAATTTTAATGCTTGGTTTAATTGTATCTGATTAGGTGATTGTATTAAAATTCCATTTTTATGGAAGTCTATTTCTTTACGTTGTCTCTATTTTCAAAGTGTTTTCTTATCTTGTTTTTTAGTCTTTTTGTATTTCTTCAGTTTAAGTCTTACTCTCTTTTTTTTTATCTTCTGTTCTCAAATAGGCTATCCCCACCATGCTCCAGAGGCTTATTTCCCATACTTCAAGCAACATAAGGTCACCACTATAATACGCCTCAACAAAAAATTGTATGATGCCAAACGATTTACAGATGCTGGATTTGAGCATTTTGATCTCTTCTTTGCTGATGGAAGCACACCTAGTGATACTATAGTTAAAACATTTCTAAATATTTGTGAAAATGCTGAAGGTGTAATAGCTGTTCATTGCAAAGGTATGATGTAAAAAACAGTTTATATTACAAGTAATGCTTACAATTACAATTCCTGAGGTATTTTGCAGTATAATTCTACTACATCTAGTTATTGATATCTCTGTCAAACTGCTACTTTTCTATTAAAATTATTTTTATGGTTCTGTTCAGCACTTCATCTTCTAATTTTGTTAAGTTCCAGAAAAATCTTCCCAGCTATTCCCAAAATAAGATTAGAGAAAGTAAGATTTCCAATATTAATTGCTCTTTCTGCTAGAAAGTATTAGTACTTTCAGAGGATGCTTTGGATAGGCATTTGAAGTCCTGTCAAGTTCTCTCTGAAAATACATGTTTAAATATGCCAAGTCATAAACTTTTGGAAATAGTGCAGCATTTTGGGGAGATTCCTCAAAATATATGACTGTTCTTCTACAACCAGCAAAACCGTTATCCCTCAGAAGCTTGTTATGCTAGTTTGGGCATGCATTGAATATCCATTCCTACAGAGTTTGACTATGAAGATTTTAAGAGCCTGGCCAATGCAGCTAGTATAGTTATTCAGTTTTATGTGGTTCTAGGGGCAGTATGTTTCCCTTCAAACACTATCTTTAATAGTCTATCACACATTTCTTCTCCACAACTTCACATCACTAGTGTACTTAATAATGCTGTGGTTGAAGTAGAAGGGCCTTTTCTTAACCTGTTTGCTTTGGACTTGCAAAGATTGCATTTTTGTTCCTATTTCTGCCATCCATTTGCTGCATTTAACAGAATTATACTGGAAAGTGAGAGAATTGTTGAAACCAGCATCTTGACTCTGGGGGAACAAGTGCATACTCTTATTCTTCACCAAGGTGATAAATTCAGGCATATCACTTAATTGGTTATGCCAGAATGCTGACTATGAATGATACAAGTGCTTTGTTTTCAACTCAAGGGGTTCTTTGGTAGATGTCATACTAATGGTGTCTAGCCTGCACTTACTCTTGAGGAGGTGTAGAATGCTTGTAGGCTGTTTCTAAAGCTGAGCAAGTCATGGAAAGTGCTGTGTGGTTGTGGTTGTGATTGTGTTGTGTTATCCAGATGATTTTACCACTGGTGTTGATCAGTCAGTTGTTAAATGAGAGAAGGTTGTGTGTGATTTGCATGTACAGCGAGTGATTGACAAGAGACGCCACTTAGCTGGAGCTGTCCTCTTTTGCTTCTCATCTTTCCCAAGGTAAATAGAACTGTTTTGAGGGCCATTTTAAATAAGGTTTCTCACTCTGGAGTACTTCTTGCCTATCCTAGCTAGTGGTCAGGCTTGCTTATTGCAAAATTTGCCTTTTTCTTCAGAGTTAAAGAGACTCATTAGAGGAGGGGCTGGAAGAACATCTGATTTCAGTGCAATGTATGATTAGTTTGCAAGAAGGTGCTGGGAGAATTCTGGAAAAAAAAAATAAAAACCAACTGTTTTATCCCATGCTTAAAAACATTCCCATACCTTCATATATACTCATAGATAGATAGGTAAATAAAGTTAGCTAAACTTACTTGACATTTGTGAATTTGCTGGTTTTGGAAAGTTACCTCACTCAAAAAAATATGAACAGCGTGTTAGTAGCCTTGTATATGAAGAAAAAGATTGAAGAGTAAGTTTCCCTTACCGTATTTGATAAGTAGAGGTTTGTTCTGATAAATTAGGCTGGTCCAAGTAATAGGGTCTGTAGTTATAGCAGATTCCAGATGAAGACGGATATATAAAAGAAGCCATTCTTTTATCTTACACAGCTGGTCTTGGACGAACTGGCACACTTATTGCTTGTTACATCATGAAGCACTATCGGATGACAGCTGCTGAAACTATTGCCTGGATCAGGATAAATAGACCTGGTTCTGTGATTGGACCACAGCAGCACTTCCTGATGGAGTAAGTAGATTGAGTGTAAATTATTGCCAAAAATAAATCTAGATGTCTTTTCTTCTTCTTCTTCTATTGTACACTTAACAATCTTCAGTGTTAATTTGTTGTATTTTGGGCCTTTTTTTCCATGTTATGATAGCAAACAGGCAGAACTTTGGACAGAAGGGGATATTTTCCGTGCAAAGTTGAAAGGAAACCATAAAATTGCTGTAACAAGAATTCTGTCAGGAGTAGATGATATTTCAATTAATAACACAAGAAACAGGAGAACCATCCAAAAGGACATTGAACTGGTAACCATCCAAATATTGTGCTCTTGTAAAAGTTGGAACTGTTGAGAATCTCTCAGGTTTTGAAAAAACCTGTGGGTACACTAAAACTTTGTTAATCAATTTTTTTTTCTGTTCACCCTTTTTGTATAAAAGAATATGGGGGGGAAAAACTAGGGACAGCAATTATGAAAAATGGAGTTCAGAACACAGGTGAAGTAGGAGCATCATCATGCTTTAGTCTTGTAGTTTTAGGTCAATAATAGAAAAAAATTACCCACATTCTGCAATCAAAAATACTGATTTCGTTTTAGATTGTCTGTTGCCTCATTGTGTGTATTTGAAGGGAGGGGATGAGAGGGTGAGGTTTTTTTCTCATTTTAATTTCTAAGTAATTGCAACTTCCGTAATACCTTTTAATGGTGCTTTTTGGAAAAGGCAGTACTGCTGTTTTGAAAAGGCAAGTGAAGGAGGGAAATGCTGTATTTAGTGAATAGCATACTGTACCTAAGAAAAGATTTTATAATATATTGCCTCTAATGCTTTAAACATATTCAGACAATAATCTGATGCATGTAATTCATGACACCACTTAATGGTTTACAGCTTCAAAAGCAGCAAACAGGAAACTGGAAGGAGCAGAACTATATTTATGCAAGTGAATTTCCTTTGACTTTATCCTGTTGAGATAATTCTAATTTTAAACTTTAAAATAAGGTTAATTCTTAAATATCGAAGTGTCTATATTTAATCTTGATTTATCCCTTTCCCTCCTCCACTTATCCAGTACAGTGATGATGATGAAACAAACTGTTTAACACAAGGGGATAAGCTTCGTGCTCTGAAAAGCAGAAGGCAAGCAAGAGCTCCAACTGCATCTCCACTAGGGTAAGTCAGTTTCTGAATATATAAAATGCCAGAAACACTTTTATCCTCTTCTTCATGCATACTTCCCATTGTCCCCAAATGTTTGTTATCAATGCTGCTTTTACTCCATTGAAACAAACATGAGATTCACTATCTCTTTGAAGGCTTGGTGAATGCTGAGGAGGCAGAACAATTTGGTTGAAGAACTACATGACTGAATTTCTAGCTTTCTGCATAGTTTATGATCCTGGTATTCAGCACTTTACAAGCTCCTATAGCACTTCTGGATGCTTTACTTTTAATTTAATCACAAAATAGTCCCTTTTCTGTGGTAGTATAAAAATGAGAGAATATGACAGTGGTTTTGTTTGATTGGCTCAAATAAGATACATGCTGGTGTTTGAAGTAGTCAGCTACTTTAAAAGAGTTGAAAGAAGGATTTTTAGTTTCCTTTCATTTTCTTCCCCTTGGAAAAAAACTTTCCCTAAGTCCTGTGGCTTTGTGATAATGTCTGTTAGATCTGGAAGGTCGAGTAGTCACTGTTTCAGTAAACAATGAAGTGCATTTCTGTCAGTGAAACTGGTAGTCTCTTCATTTTAGGCAATTCCTGAAACACCACCTGTAAAAGACAGTTTGCATCTGTTATAGCTTGTAGGAACTGTAGGTATGAAATCTTTCTATCTGCCCTTAAACTGCAAGAGAATGCAACACTTGCAAAACTTTGTTGGATCTCATTTGATTGCTAGGAAAGGAGTGGTGACCCCTGGCTGTCAGACTTCTGCAGATGACACATCACCAAAGTCACAGGCTACAGTCAACTTGACTTTTGTTGTGTTGTCCTTCTGTAGGATATGATGCTGCTACCTTTTTGGCATTTTTATTTCCTTTTTAATTCTTTTTTAAGATCATCACTGTCATCAGACTTTTAGAAAAAGTGAGAAGCATGTAGTAAAAATGTGATGAAGGTAAAGGAATATATATTTGGAAACCTTCACACATTGCTATGTCTGATTTCTGCTTTTCTTTTAAATTACTGTCTTCTCTTCATGCTTATCATTTATACAGACAGCCATATAAGAAACAACATACTCAGAACAATGACTGTGCCCAGCTGACATTTAAAAAAATGCCAAAACACATCACCTCAGTTACCTCAAATAGCACGGTAAAAAATGACTATGTTGCAGATTCATTTCCAAGGCAGAGAACTGCCTTAGTTGTCAAGTACTTAATTGCCCCACATTTCCTATATGTTCCATATGATGAATGTGGACTGTGTGGTAATCTATTCAGAACCATAGTCTTAATACCTTCTTAATACAAGACCTATCTATTATTAAAATATTATTTGGCTCATGAAATGTTATGCAACATGTCTGCTCTAATTAGCTGGTACTTGTATAGACTTAAAATAATTGACCTGGAGCTTATGTCTGGTTTTTACATTGTGCATTGTTGCTCAAGGAATTTCAATTTACCTCTTTCTGTTCCCCTGAGTTATTTTTATGGTTTGCAACTTGAAAAATTTTGGTGAAAAATGTATGTGTAAATTCATAAATTTATTTGTGTTACTGTTGTTTTATTGCAAGGAATATTTGGCTGCCTTACATGAGTCAGAAGTTTTTTCTACTACAAGAGGTGTTTACCTCCTTCCTTTTTAGTTTAGTCTGTTAAAATAATTATTCTTGCAGTGAAGTTGCATTAATTTCAAATTAATTTTGAAATTGTATCTAAGCAAACAAAAAGAAAATTCTAAATCTTCCAAGTAGTTTTATTTCCAAGGAAAAAAGAAGCGGGGTGGGAGGGCAAAGTAAGAGCACCAGAAGTTTGGACAGTTACAGTCTTTAAAATGTGGAGGCATTATTTACTTTCAAGTCACAAGGGATTTCTATAGACTGTGTATTGAAGTTGGCTGTATAAATTCTTTATGCGCTGATGACTGGATGTTTTGTGTGTTCTAAGAAGCAATATTAATTAATTAATCCTGAGGCAAAGGATTATGAATTGGCTTTTGGTTCTTACATGGAAAGGTAATACACCCCATCATCTACTTTTTTACATAAGTTGTTTGTTTCTGCAAACTTACCTGTCTCTGATGTAATGTTTTACTATCAGAATGTATGATTGTGAAGTAGGATGTGTGAATTCAGGCTAAACCAACTGCTTTAGAGATGGCTGCAAGTGGTCAGAGATGTGTGCACTTATTTCCAAGAGTGATACAGACTTTCTTTGAAATAGGTGACTTTGGTGAGGATTTCAGAAGATTTGCTTTGATTCCAGCAGCTCATGGGTACTACACTGGCAGTTTATGGCTGCATGGATTGTTAGTCATAGAAAGTAAGAAATGCTTGGCAAAGTTTATAAAGCTTTTAGAGCCTCTTCCTTTTGAAGAACTTTAAACAAGCTAAAATGCACCAATAGCTTTTGCTTTTGATTATTTTTCATCTCTACCTCCCCCTCCAATCCCTTTTTAGATGGCTCCTAGCTATGCTGGTGTCTACACTGTGTAGCATTGTCATCTGGTGGATTGTTTGTGGCTCCCTTCTGCCCAGCCTGCTATTCTGTCTAGATGGTTTAAGAACATAGTAACCATCAGGATCCCCTGAAAGAGAGCCACTGTGTAAGTGTCCCATTCCATTTCTCTACAATAGCTCACACTTTCTGTCTACTATGTCTCACAATTGCATGTTTTCATGTCATATTTCTTACTTGCTTTATTGCAAGAGTGAATTTCACTGCTCTGGCTTTGTTACATTCTTGTGTATATTTTTGTAGAATAATTGAGTGATTTTTATGGCTGGCTTGCAATATACAAAGGCAAAGAGCTCTTATAGTTAAAATAATTTTTAGTTTTGAAGCTTTTCTTCTCTGCAGATAAGCAAAAGTACGTAAGCAAAATTATCTGTAAGAAAGAAAAAGTACTGCTTTAAAATACGATCCTATCCTTTGCATATTGCAGATGCAGATGTTAGCTTCAATTTTACTTTGAAGTTCATGAACTTGTAAAGTAGGCTAGTTTCCCAACACATTCTTTTATTCCCATAAAATGTCAAGGATTAGAATTCGTTAGAAATGTCAGTAGGTCTTTGTTTCTACAAAGAGATCAAATACTATATGCCATGGCATAAAACATGACTTCCTTTACCTTTTTGACAGAAGAGAAGATGGGTCAGGTTGCAGTGTTAGGACAATGCTCACTTGTTTACCCAGCAAGTCTGGTTTCATCATCCTTTGCTTATAATTATGTTTTCTAGAGCTTTAGGAGACTACTTACGTTCCTTTATTCTGTTACTTGTATTCAGCAGCTGAGAAAACATTAATAACATCAGTTCCTTGAGTTCAATTTCCACTCTTTCTTCACTTTCATCAGAGTAGCTGTAGTGATTTCTGTGACTTGCTTCTACTTAAAAGGTGCAGTGTTTTCATCAAATGACAACTTACATCTTTTGGTCAAACAAAAATTCCAACAGCATGCAGAACTGCCAGGAAATGCAAATGAACTTTTTTCCTTGTTTTTGAGTCTCCCTGGAGCTCCTCTGTCATCACCACTCCCAAAGTAGAATGGTTACTTTGGGTGAATGCTTGAAGCCTTGGTGCTCTCAGATTTAAAAAATGGTCAGAAAGTCTTTTACTAAGTAAGTATAGGAATTCTCTCCTGACAAGGTATGAAGGTTGAGATTTTCTGTCATCCTTACCTTTGGCCTTGCAACTTTTTGTCTGCACTTTTTAAAAAGCATGAAACTCTTTCTGCTAACCTACTGAATAACTATAGAACAAGAACTGGGAGACTTTGGACAGGTTAGCTATTCAGTTAACCTTCACTGAGGTCAATTTAATCTGTTCTTTTTGAGAAAAAAATGATGAAGAAGATCACTTCGGCTTAATTTTTCTCCCTAACTTTGTCAAATAAGATACTTGAGAAGCATTATTCTAAGTAACATTGCATGTATATTTTCTAAGTTTTACACTGTATGAAGCACTATTTCTTTTCTCAGTGGTCTCTGAGTTAGACCTCAGGTTTCTGAGCACATACTAAAAAGCTAAACTTAAAGCACAGGTTAAAGAGGTGAAATAATCTGTGCTTTGTTTTGCTGTACTGTGCTGTAAGGTCAATTTCAGTCAACTGTCATCCTTTCTTTCTCTTACTGTGTGTGTGTTCTGTCAAAAAACTAGAATCACTTTTTCCTTGCTAGAGGAAAAAAGACTGTTTGATGTGATATGATGCAAGCAATTTGGTTATTCCCATTTGCTGTGAATTTCCAATTACTGGTGCTGCTGCTTGATTTTCAAGATTACAATCATACAATGTTGGTTTAAGTATAGGGAGGGAAAACATTTAGGCTTTTCTTAAAAGCTTGCCTAACTTTCCATTCTGTGGCTAAAATCTCTTGTGTTTTAAGAGATCAAATTATCAGCAAGGATCATGGATCAATCTGGGCTGGCCTGGAAGTTGTGTTGGCTGGAGCCTTATATGCTGAGGAGTTATGAGTCACTTGTCGCCTGTTAATGTCTTGGAAGAGTGGTAGAGGTCTCAGGTCTATTTTCTTAAAAATCATGAGGTGATGAAGGAGAAAGCAATATTGCACTTGACAGACCTTGTAAGACAGGTTGCCCAGATTGGTTGGCAAGACTAAAATGCCTTTTGCAGACAAAGACATGCATCTGTGTAACCTCTCTTTTCTTTATCTGTGCTTAGGATATTGCAATCACATATTTTAAAATAAGCTTATTGTGTGGCTTGATTTCTGTCCAATGTGTATTGTGCTGTTTGCAATTCAAGTTTTGTGGATTTTGTCTCAGGCTGTGGATTTTGGGTTTTTGTGTCCTGGTGGTGTGCCTGTGTTCCACCCTGCACTGAGTTAAATGCTGAAAAAAGTTGTGAGTTATTTAAAAGTTGCTGCTACTGACACAAACAGTGTTTCATTTAAACAACTTTCTATTTGTTTAAAGGTCAAGGTATTAGCTTGAATAAGAAAGTAATGAATAAACTAGTCTGCTATTTGTGTTATGTATTTAGGATC